AATATAAGCATTCAATACATCTAAATTATGGAAAATGTCATATTTTTCTCATTAGTTTTTATTAAATGAACCAGCCATTTATTTAATCTTTATCTAAGTCATCACCATTTACAACATTAGTATCTTAAGTATTACAAACTTTTTTCTAAATACATAAAGAAGCAAAATTATTTTAACCAAGAACCCATACCATTGTAAAGATCTAAATATTTCAAAAAAAAATCTTACTTTTGAAAACAGAAATGAATGCTTAATGTTATGGAAGAAAACATGGAATTGAGTAATGTCATTTTCAGGGCTGTGGGAACAGCCAAGTTCATACATGTGCCTTCCAAGCAGTTACTCCATGTCACTGACAAGTGCAAGCAGCTCCAGCCAGTCTGGCTCTCAAGAGTGGTGTTTTAAGTTACAGATTGCCTTCTCATTCTCAAACATTAAAACGAAAACTCATCAAGGATATTGCTTCTGCTCTTCATATACATAAACACCAGCATGTGCATTTATATGTACCCATATGCACAATGATAATTTTTATTTTTTAGGAATATTCAAAACCAAAACATTGATACGATACTAACCATAGCTATTTAGTGGCAGAATAATACACTGATTAAATGTCATTAGGATTTTTTCTGTTACTATACATCTGGGAATATATATGTACATATACACACACTCTCTAATTCAGGTGATTCTCAAACTTGAGCTCTTCCTGTCACAGTGGTAGAATTAGTAGCATCTGCCAATATACATGGTTCACAACCAATCTTATTTATAAGAAGGAAAAAGATTTGGTTTCTTAAAATTAAGATATTTTCTGAAAACACAAAAGAGCTTTTTGGAAGGAGGAAGGGGATTAGTGGGAGAAGAACCAAAGAGGTTAGTGGAGGATGAAGTCACCAAGGTATGTTATACATATGTAGAAAAATGTCACAGGATAGCACAGTGCTTTGTTCAGTTAATATGCACTAATTATAAGGAAGAAAAACGGCCTTTGTTTCTCTTGCAAATATTCCAGTGTCTACTCATTTAAAATTAGAAGTAATTATGCATGGATTCTGTATTCTAATACAATCTATAAATAGTAATTATAAAAATCATTTCTTTTTCCTTCAATGGCATTCTGTAAGTAGCTACCACTTAACATTCATTTCTGATACTTCCCCATTAAAATGCAATGGAAAATCTGGCACAAAGCAGCACATGGTCTGTGTGGTTCTTTGTACACATAATAATTGATTACTGCTCTGACAACACCCCACCTTTTTACATAGTTGTAAAAAGAGTTCATTCTAAATTAATTGACAACACTGAAATAAATTGCTTTACTATGTGGTTGGAAAGTAAAGCAGACCAATATTAGACATAATTATATTCAAATTGCTGGTGAGGGTGAAGGCTAAAGACAGAAATTCTTTTGCATGGGAAGCCAATGTGAGGACACTAGTGATGTGGATACTAAACATTCTGTTTAGATCTCAAAGACAATTTTTTTCTGTTGTTTTCCATACTCCCTCCACACAAATGTTTGATTTTTCTGTAGTGATACTTTCAGACTGCTTATGTTACAGTTATGTTATTGAACATAACTTTCTTAATTGGGAGTATCATCTGATAAGCACTCAAAAATGTTGTAATTTTTTATTGTTAAATTGGAAGACATAGAATTTACTCTTCTGATATATGGTGAGGAAGTAAGAGAGGCTCACTACCAAAAGTCTTTGATTGGGATACACAGAATTCACCAATACAGAATAAAGAGAAAATTCATTCTAAATTTTCAGTCTAGGATAACAGACATGAACTCCTCCTAAACCTCTATGAAAAAAAAAAAACAACACGGATATTCTCAGTGTTACAGCTCTGAAGGATAAAAAATGTTTAAAAAGCCCAAATGGTGCTTTATTAAAAGGGAGTTTAAAAGGAAATAGAATGAACATTCCTTTGCTTTTATTAAACAACATCTACAATTATCAAGAGCACCTGGGAACACAAAGTTCCTCGACAGCAAATACTAAGACTACTACAGAGAAAAAGCAACAATGAAAGTGATGGAGTTGCTTCTCTTTGAGGTACGTAGAAAGTAAAAATAAATTTGAGAAGGTAATTCTGGAGATTAGATCATATTTGTATGCCTGGAAGATTTTGCTATTTGGTAGTATCAGAAAAAAATATCTTCTGATCATATCTTGAAACTGAAATAAATATTTTTCTACTTAAACAAAAAAACCTACATTTACATAAGTAGGAAATTCTGTGTTGGTAAAATTATTAATATTTAGTATGCAGATACTTCAAAGAGGCAAAATAAATTTATAATTATAGCAACACATAACTTTGTTAGTCTAAGATTCTTTTAGAAAATTGATCATCTAACTTTCTTCTGTATGACTGAGTGATGGGAAATCTGTCCTGCTCAATCTCTGTAAGAAGTGGTAGAAAATAGAAAAGGCAAACACATGGGCAAGATGGCTCCTGAGTATAATCCCAGTAGTCAGAGGTTAATGCAGGAAAATTGTGAGTTTGAGGCCAGGCTTGTGGACAGAGACCTTATCTCAAAAGAGAAAGAACAAACTTAAAAGCTAAAAAATACAAAGAATCCTCTTATAATATGAAAATTATCTCTGCTCAATTATTTTGAAATTTTATTAGCCTGTTATTGCTTAGTTTTAGATTTTGATAACTTTATTTCTTTAAGTCAATGGAAATATTTTTAAATGACATTACAACACTATTGGATATTTAGTTTATTAATCAAGATATTTACATTATTTTTTATGAATCATTTCTTTTTTCATTTACATTTATTGAATCACTCATGATAGTTATGGACTAAGATAACATGTATGTGAACAGAATCATGTATGTAGGAGGTACTCATGATATTTTCCTAAAATCCTTATTACTGAATATTTCAAAATGTTGTGGGACCCTCTCAATTGTATTATAAAAAATGCTGATTGGCAGGAAGTATAGGTGGGGCTACAGAGACCAGGCAGGAAGTAGAAGCATGAGAAGGAGGATTCTGGGAAAAGGAAAGCTCAGATTGCAGTTGTCACCCAGACAGAGAGGAAGCCGGAAACAGAGCAAGCAAGACGTGACTGCCTCTCTGAAAAAGCTACCAAGCCACGTGGATAACACAGAAAAGTATTATGGGCTAATATAAGTTATGAGAGTTAATAAGAAGCCTGAGCTAATAGGCCAATCAGTTTATGATTAATATAGACCTCTGTGTATTTCTTTGGGATTGAACAACTGTGGGACCAGGTGGCACAGAAACCCCTGTCAACATCAAAATCCTGTCGTTGACTGGTTTTCTGACTGAAAGCCTTAAAATTATAACTCATGGTGAAAAGTAAGTACAGACAGTAGAAGGAAGGTTCTGCTGTGGCAAATCTTAGATTAGTATTCTGTAAGAGACATTTAGCATTCAGTTTTAAACAAACTGTGCTCATCTTAGTATTTTGCTTTGCAATATATCGAGTTCCTAAAGATTCAATTTAGTGAACATGGGATTGGAAGCTCCTTTACTTTGTTAAAAACAGTGATAAAAGTTTTGCTATTTGATAAGTTGCAAACTGTACAGACAATCCAAACATTTGTGGTACCCTGCCAGAGTGTGGGAGGATTTGTAGGAATACTGAGTCTACACTTTGGTGCAATGCAACTGCTTTCTTGGATCAAGCATCAGTGTGACAAGGTGATCCACTGCTCTTACAGCTGTCACTCACCAGATGTGTGATCTCGGAAAACAACTGAGCTTTCAGGGTGTTTATTTTTCCTTTTTTTTTTTTTAATGTGAGAGTATGATTTTATGATTTCTGGATTCCTTACATGTCCTGGAATAAATAAAATATCCCATTTAAAATAAGATGCTTAGGTTAGAACTTGTGGAATAGTTGCTGTTATGGTATAGACATGCTGCACTAGTGGACATCATCTGCAAACATGTCAGTTCATTTGTATTATGCAGGGCTTGGAAGAATTTGCAAGCACACAGGGAATAGTCCATTTGCATGTGTTTAAGTGTTGATTTTTTTCAGGATGAGAAGGAGGCAGGATTTTTGTCTACCAAATGAATAGTTCATGGAAACAAAATAAGTCTCCAGTGTCATCCCTCCATTTTAAAAGTTTCAATCTCAAATGGATAATGGCAATGAACATAAATAAATCTGTGAAAATAAAAGGGAAACACAAAAGATCTGTTGAATCATTACAACATAGCACATACAGAAACTATTTTGTCACATTTACACAAATAAATAATTTGGGAGAATAAAAATTTTAAATTTTATTTGGGTATTATGGGCAGATTCCAGTACCAAATGAGCAAATAGATTCTTAACCCACAATGGAATAGTGGTTCTGCAACAGCTTCTTTATGGAACTGTAACCGCTACTGTAATCATCATTTGCAGTTGATGGTGCCTCTTCCTTTCTGTTACTCATAGTAGGAGAATATAAAATTGACCACTCACAAGGCCCTTCTTGTATACACATATATGTCTGGCTATTGTTGAGGCAAGAAATAGATTTTGGAAAAATTTGGTGTCTGGAACTATCAGGCTTTGGTGTAAGTATGCACACACCCATTAAGTTTTCTTTTTAACTTGAAAGTTACAGTAGTTCAGATAATCATCACGTTATCAATTATAGTTCACAAGGAATAGATGAATCCAGCAAATGTAAAATTATGTTTTTCTTTTTACAGACATGAGGTTTTTGAATAATGCAAATGCTATTTAAAATGTTATATATGATGTTAAGCAGTCTTCAACTTTGTGACATGAAGATATGTATATTTTTTGTGAAAATATGTATAAAATTATTCACTTAGGGTTGAAAACTATATTTATCTTCATGAACTCACTCTGTATTTTTCCAGTAGATTTCTAAGTACCTGATAAAATGACTAAATTTGTAATGCATGACTTTGATATGAATTCTGATGAAGTAAGAAGATTTTCTAAAACCTAAGATGTTTTATATTGTTTGTATATTTTAAATATTTAACCTTTCAGTATACTATTTCATTTACCTTCTTCACAGGAAAGGCAGCCATCTTTTATGATTTCCAACCTGTTGGCTATTTACCAGTTTCTTATAAATTTCTGACTTTAGAAAACGAGGAAATGAATCCTTGGCCATGAGACTATAAATTAATTTCTGAGCCTCATCAAAGCATTTTGGAGTCGGTTCAGCAATATTCCTTGAGATGAGGTCTCTGGTACTGAAGTCAATATTAATCTGTAGAAACAAGGTTGCATGGCATTACATGAGATTACTTAAAATGTACATGGCATATCAGGATACTAGGTACATGTATTGCTGAGTTTTTCCAAACACAAAGTTAATTTGATGGAAAATAGCAGCATGTTCTTGCATTTATTTTTGACACAACGAACAAAATCTTTGTTTTAAATTTTAACGTACCTTGAGATGGATGGCAGTTACAAGAAACAGCTAAAGCTGACTTTTAAAAAAGGCAAAACAAAAATGCAAACAAGAAACATTGAAGTTTGAAATACCTTTTATTTTGTGCCAGTTTATTTTTCTAACATTTCTAAAATTTGAATTCCAAATGTGTACATTACCTAGGAATAGCTATCATATCCTATATTGCTTTTTACCATTCTCCATATGCTTAGCAAACCTTCTGGGTTCCCATAGCATTGCTTTTCTAGTTTGTTTCTTTCTATTTGACAAAATAAAACAATTTATAACTTCCTTCACTGCCATTACACCTCTTGCAGATCAAAACATTCAATTATATACATAAATACACACTCACAATCAAAAACAAACAACACACCAAGAAACCAAAACAAATGTTCAGTCTCCAGAAGTATCTAATAGAGTTCTATTACATTGGAATACACCATTCACCAGAAAACCTGCTGAAGTGCAAACCAGCTTCTCTATCCATATTGCAGGGTATTTGATCAGCAAGCATTTTATCTCAGGCATCTGAATTAAACTAAAAATATTCATGACGTATACAATCTATTTGAATCTTAATAGTATAAGCTCGCCAAAGGCAGGTGCTTTATCTCATTTATCATCATTTCTAGTACTTAGCTGAATACCCACGACATAATAAGAAATCAATAGATATTTATGGAGCAGAATGAGACCATCTCAGGAGAAAATGTGAGCGCTGATAAAGTGGTACAATTTGGAGATTTGGGAAAGGAAAACTCATCAATTTCACTTATGCAACATTGAAGTGAGGCTAAGTGATAGGTAGAGCTGCAATTAAATACAATTCAGCTTCTTACTTGCCTTGTAAATAAGAAAATCAAATCTGTACTTTAAACTTTCCAGGCAAAAAGGAGAATAGAGAATAGTAAGGGCTCTTACCTTAAGGAGCTTTATTTATTAATGAATAAATATTATAAAATATTTTAATGAGTATTATTATTTTAGAGAAAAACAATAAAAACAAGTAATAGGAAAAGAGTCATCAAAGAAGGATGATTAGACCTAATCTTTTGATTAGGATTTCAGATACTCACTGAAGTTAATCCATCTATAATTTTGTTCTTTTGATCTGTTTCTTTGGTCCTCCCTCAAAGATCCAGGTAAAATGTTAAAACTTCATTAAACACCTCCAAACATGGAATCAGTTGCCCCTTCTTCATTACATTCATTCTACTACAAAGGCTAAATTCCTTATCTCAGTGCATGAGACCTACTAGATCTGACCTGGGCCTTCTTCAAATCTCACTGTACTCAGAACTCAGGTTTCTTCTCTTGCATATTACACCCCAGTCAACAAGTCAGGTAGCTCTTTATAACTTAAATTCTTTCCTGCATCAGGACTTTGCATTGTTTTTCAGAAATCTTTCTCCAAATTCTTAAATATGATTTTTTAGTTTTAACTATGATGAGTTTTATTTCATTAGATGTCTTTCCCCAAAATAGAGACAGCATTTTGCACATAATAGAGACCCCATGTCATTGGGAAAATCAGTCAATAGATCTCCCTCTTCTTACAATGTCGGACTATCAATGGACTAGGCATTATTGTTAGAGGACAGATTTGAAAATGATCATATGCTCTTGTATTGTGTATGTTTTTATTTCTGTTTACACTATGTTGTGCACAAATGTAAAGTTATTTTGCCATATTGTATGTATGTATGTTTCTATACTGCCCTTTACATTTCTACCTATGATCAAGATATTTTTATATTTTTAAGGTTATTGTCTTCATGCTGCAATCTGCTTAAAGATGGTTTACATTCATAGATAAGCTTAGTAAAGACAACATAGGTTGTTTCAGAATTGAAAGGTAATAGTCACCCATGTTTGTCAGAATTTTGGTTATGTTAGTCAGGTTCTCTAATGCACAGAGACATACTCTGCATAGGTAAGTAATCCTCAGACACTTCAAAAACCTGTAGAATGTGGCATTTGAATAACTAAGAATTCTCTTGACATGAGACACGATTTCTCTGGCAGAACCATTCTGCTCCCAAGAGAATGTAGAACACCAAAAACACTCCACATGTAGCTTGTTTTCTTCTCGGTAAAACTGGCTTTTTGGGCAAAGAACTGCCCTTGCCTTGACAACTGACAATATGCTTGCTGTCCAAACTGGACAAGCAGGATATAAGCAAAAGTGACTTGTGAACCTTGTTAAGACATGGCAGGACAGTTTTTCAAATTTTCTTGCTTCTCAAAATGATCTGTTAGATACTCTAGGCCTTAGCCAAAGTTGGTTACCCCAACATTGCAAATGAGACTTTGGGAGACTATCCAGGTGGCCAGCTGTTTCTGTCATTTCTTGCACCTTGTACAAGTCACTTGCTTGTACTTCTTGCTTACTTAGGTAATTTTATTTTTCTTCTAAGGTATTTAATAGGGTTGAAGAGTTGATAGTCATAGATACTTTTTTTTCACATGATTTAGCTAAGACATTTTAGGTATAAGACTTAGACTTCTCAGGATAGGACAACTATTGAAATAATCTCTGTTTTTACTAATTACTGATAGATTTAACATTTATTATGTGTTTCTTGCTTGATGCTGTACACATTGTTTGTAGATCTATTTTTATGTATGTTTTTACCTTTTCTTTCTTTTGAACAATGCTTGATATTTGTGCTTATTGTATACAGTTTTGTATTAGTTTTAGAACCTAATTAGGTTTATACAAACGGGGAAGTTGTTGTGGGAATTCATTCAGCCAATAGCTTTTGGGGAACCAATCTCTGGGACATGGTCTGAGGTACTACATGTGCACAGATAAGAGGAAAGAAGCATGCTCACTCTGTGGGGAGGATGGATCAGAAATCACCTTGTTCATACCTTCCCTGGGCAGAACAGCAGGATACAGTGAGTCTGTGTTTTTCCTTTTGAATTCCATTTTTTTTGTATCCTCGTAATAAAGACTATTTGTAACTCTCTCAATACCTCTCACATTACAACATTTTTCTTGTGGGATTAAGAGCAGATTAAAAAAAATTATGACCTAGCAGAAGGTTTTCTATCACAGAGAATCTGTTAAATATTTACGTGTTCTGCATTCTGCACAAGGCTAAAGACCCAATCAATACAACATTACAAGTGAAAAAAACAGTTGTATATTTATTCAAAATCATTCTAAAATTTTAAAATTATTCCACTAAATTCATTAATGCTAATTACTATTATTACCAAAATGTATTCATTTCTGACTTGCTTGCTTTCCTGCCAAGAAACTGCCAACCTCAGCTATTGATAACTCAGCGACGAGCATATCTTTGTTCTTGGGAGAAAATCAGTAGCTTTATGAAGCTGTGTCTTGGAAATTCAGCTTAATGTCAGTGACAAAAACATCACACTCACATGTTATATATATATATATATATATATATATATATATATATATATATATATATGTCATTATTTTTCTTCAACATGTTCAATCTTGACACACAGGAGTCTTCTCTGACACCTTTCTTCTCCAATCATTAGTGTGTGTGTTGTGTGTGTGTGTGCTTCTTTCTGTGTCTGTGTAAATTATGCCTTTGATCCTGAAGCTTCACAGTAATTTTTACATTTTCATTCTTATGCCTACAGATTAGGTTTTAATAAATAACCTGTTCTTTCTCTTTGATATTTTGTATAAAATCTTTTCCTCTCAACCCTGTGTAATGTATTACCTTATCAATTTTTACCAAAATACTGTTTCTTACATGAATATTATGGAATGCCATTATTTTTCTGTGATGTGTATGTAAAACAACCAGCTGTGTCTTCTGTGCCACAGTGTCACAGAGGAGATGTTTCTGTTTTTTTCTTGTTATTATGTGCAATTTTGGTTCTAAAGGTTTTAAGAAATTAGGTTTATGCTTAAACAGATTTGGCTATTCAAGCTTTGGTTATTGTTAAGAGTTTAATTTAGTTATCTGAGAATGGAAATTTTTTTACAACAAAGGCACTCAGCAGTTCAGAGGGTGAAATGAATCTGTCTATTTTTTCTATCTTTTCTATTTTATTTTCTAAATTGTCCATTTTCTACATCTCTCAAAAATAACAACAGAATGAATACTCATTTCTTGTATTCTGTCCTCCTTTCTACAAAGTTTTCCTTAGATACTCTGTTTTTTACAATGACAGAAATTTTGAAAAATGGATTCAATTCAAAAATAACTTGAAAGAATATATACAGGGCAGGGAACCCTGACTGCTCTTCGGACTGGAGAGGGAGGGGGAAGGGTGTGGGGGGTGGGGGAGGGAAATGGGAGGCGGGGAGGAGGCAGAAATTTTTAATATAAAAAATAAATAAATTTAAATAAATAAATAAATAAAAAGAATATATAAAGATGATTTAAAATATGAAAACCATTGCAAGGGAAATGTTACTACTGATGTGCTTATTGTTCATGTGGACTTTTTATGTTAACCCAATACGACTGTAAAATGATTGCATTTATGTTCCTCATTGTTTGGGAAAATGTATCATATATTTTAAAACTAGCTATTTTTTATATACCAGTTCCCGAGTTTAACTCATTTAGAATATTTATTAAACATTTGTATAGATCTGTGGTAGAATCTGAGGATATGAAGAAAATCATGACAAAAAGTCAATTTTGAGGACAAATTTTGAGAAAACAATGCAAAAGAAAAAATGTACTTTCTAGAAGCAGTTCTCTCCCCAAAAAATGACACTTGAAAATTACCTTTTGGAGTATCTATATGAGTAGGAAATATGAAATTTGGGGCATGCCTGTGGGAGGACTCACTGACAGAAACCT